ATCCGCATGCATTAGGGATCAAGGCTACTCAGTCTTGCAGTAGTACTTTACACTTAGCTTCACACTTGTGAAGCGGATGCCAAACCATGACGCAGAATTATTTATATTATTTAATATTGATTGTACTACTGCCGCATCAGACACATGAAGAACTGTGTTGTCTGGGTACTTGATATCTGTGAGCGGACGCCCCGGGAGAACTTCGACCCCACAGGCATTACAGGCTGGTAGTTAGTTTTCCGTAATCATATTAATGATGAAGTTGAATAGGAATGGTGAAAGAGGACAGCCCTACCTGTCACCACTTGGTGTGGTTAACTCAGATGAGATGGACGCAGAACTGTTCGGGCAAATGATACTTCCCGGTTTCCCAGGCTGATGAAGGGGGTTTGGTATGGACTGGACTCAAAAGTATAACCCACGACCTCTGACTCAAAGGTCTGACCCACGAGGCAGCGGACAGTAGCGTCTTCCTTTGGGTACCCTGCTCGAAGCCGATGATTCAAAAGTCTGACCTACTAGGCTGCAAGGGGTAGGCCTAACACTTGAGCACAGGGAGCAGGGTATTACTCTTGATGCGGCTGCGCATAGTAGGTGCTCTTTGAGCAGCACCGGACTCTTTGGTTTTAAAAGTATTTCAACCGTATTTAATAATGCACCAGCGGCCCCGGTTAGCCGCTGGGCGATCAGGGTGTGCAGTTTTTGGGGCCGAGTTTTTTCTAACCTGTCTTTCCTGAAGGAAGGCACCATCGCTACTTCCATGAATATGGGCATGCTGGTACCTGGGTGAAATACCTTATTGCCCCAACACTCCTGTCGCAGAGGACAGTGTGACTTTATCACCAGACCACCTCGTAGTACGCGGTCTCCGTGTTTCTGGTCTGAATGTTCCCCTTTGGCCTTCTTGGTATGGTTGCACCTTGTCGAATAGAGTTCCAGACAGTGTATCCCGGGGATTATTGCGGCACTCAAGCCCGTCCACCACGTCAGTGTGACAGCTTTAGGTCCGTAGCGGGTTGTGTCTGGAACGCCATAGACCATGATGCTCGCTAGGCAATGCTGTGAACTGTCTTCTGTGCGAGGAAAGCGGCAGTATGTAAGTGTCTTATAGCACGTTGGGGGCATCCGTGGGACTGCATTTAGTATTATTTGACGCAGTGAATAATACTTGGAAGAGCTGGCAATAAATCCTCGGGTGCGTTAATTGGTTGTAGATCAGGTAGCTGTTAACTGGGAAGAGGGTTCGCCACATGGGGCTCNTCCTCGGGTGCGTTAATTGGTTGTAGATCAGGTAGCTGTTAACTGGGAAGAGCTTTCGCCACCATGTCGCTCTTACTGGAAATGTGTCGGGCATCTGTAAAAACTTTCAAAAGTCGAGGGGTAGCGCTCCGAACTGTTTCGGAATGTGGATATCAGGGAATCCCAATCAGTAAAGTTTACGTATGGCTGACCCTCCAGCGCGTACCTTAAATGTCATGCGGCGTGTCTCCAGGCTATCACCGTGGGACAGCTGCGTCGTAGGCTTACATGGTGACAATCAACGTAGCACCAGCATCAAAGTGATTAGTCGTAGTAGCCGAAGCAAGTGATTTTCCGACAGCATTTAAGGCGCACTGTCTCCTGTGATGGAGGCACGTCGCTGTTCTTGCGACTATTTAGTAAATCTGTGATCGGATGAGCAAGAGTTGCGCAGTTGCGAATTAAACAGTGTGCAAAGTGATGAACAGCTGCCAATTTCGTAGGCACAGAATAGCCGCTGGGGCCGAAAACGGTCATCCGATAATGGAGTTCATATTGGTCAGTAACATACGCAGGATTGTGTGGCGGCTTGCCAAAACCATTTTTCGGGATTGATGTTTTTTAGTGAGCTAAACTTTGAGACAGTGTTACAAAATTTCCTTCGTGTTTTTTAAATGGACCAGCCATCGTTAAACAGAGTTAGGGTTGTTGGTGAAATGGTGAATGTTGGTCAATGATTTGTGCCCGTTTCACAGACGAAACTGCACATGTATATCTTTCATATGATTCGCAGTGTGCATGCTTCGAACTGAAGCTGCCATCTCGTGGTTGTTTGGCTTCACTGCTACAATCAAAACACTGGCTGGAATCCAGTTCTTCAAGGCTCAGACATGCCAGGAAGCAGTGAAACTGATGGCTGTTGCCTCAAAGCCATGGCTCTTGTAGACTGGTACCAGCGAATCCGCAATTGGACAATTAGAGGCGACTGTTTGGTAATGCAACAGGGACTTCGATCGTAGCAAGTATACTTGGCGTCTGATGCTGTGGTGGTATGTATCGCGCGTGTCGAACCATCATTTTCCGATTCGTACCTACTTCGTTGTGATGCATTCAATGATGCAGTCAACTATGACCTCGCGGACAAGCATGCAGTCGACTACGAAAAATTTGGGTAGTGTGGATGTCACTCGTCTCCCAAGATGTGGTCCGCATGACCCTCCCCGGTACATGGTTTGAGACGCTGCAATCGATGTCATTGGCGTTTTTATTATCCTTAGTGGGGATCTGAAAGTGTAATTACCTCAGATTGATTATGTTAACACAAGATCCCTTCTCTATTCACTTAGTCTTTTCTTCATAATATGACTTTTAAATAAATCCTGACTGTACGACAGCGAAGCCTCACTATCAAGCGCTATGGAGTGTCATACCTCTTGATGGAGCTCCAACTGAGCTTATAAGATTATTGCTATTGTTTAACTCCCCTGCGCGAACATAGTCGAGCATACAGTGGAGCCTTTTGATTCCGAGCTTCACCTCGGAGTGCTTGACCGCGCCGCTGATTGGTTACTGATGCGCACAACTTACTACGGATACTCGAAAATCCGGGATATACACCAGGAGTTTTGTTTTGTTAAATGATGACTCTGAGTCTCGCTGACACTGAACCGGGCTGACAAATATGCTGTTGGACTTAGCCAATGGATCAAGACCGATAATACACCTGCTGAACGAACCCGAGCCACCGCCCACTCCGAAAGACTGCGATGTTGCACAGTTCCCGGTGTTCAGACATCTCGGTTCCCTCATGTTTTCTGAAAATCATGTAAGCGTTGCACCTTCAAAGTACAAAGTCTCACCGCAGGATTTACTATTCCCTTTCACATCTGAATATGCACAACGAAGACTTTTTTCCGATTCACCTATGTTGCCGGCCGCATAAGCCGTGATTCTGGCTCACTGAAACAGGCGAAGTCAATGCGTGGATAATCAAGGCGAGGGCAGCATTTACCTACTTAAATCGTCTAACTGGTCGCAAACGAATCTCCCCAATACTAAAGGACTTTGTGTGGAAGGTTGCGAAACTTGGTTTCTCCGAACTGAGGACCTTAGTCATCATTAAACTTTTGACAGTTTTCTCCGTAGCGTAAGAAGATTTAGTTAACTGTAGTGGGTACGCAACAAAGTGTTGCTTAAGCGAGTACTCGGTAGTTGTTGTTAGAAACCCTACAAGACATGGCATGCAACGGACTCCAGTAGCGCGCATATTATCATTTCCATGCCGGATTGCTTAGCTGAATCTTGTCAAACGTTGTGACCTGGTCTTATGTCGGATGAGGTTCGCGGGGGGCGCTGTTTTAACCCCACCGATGAGGCCTTTATTCGACGCAGTGGTTAGTTGTGTCTATAATGCTATCCGAAGGTTATTCTTGATCGTTTTCCGTAGTTCTCCAAGCCTGTTCCTTTTGTTTCCACTGGTTACTAGGGCTTCCCCCGTCATCACTGGGCGCCATTGTATACTGTTGATGTAATGCTGTCAAAGATCCTGAAGGATGAAATGGGAATACACATGCGTGCAAGTAAAGAATGCCTTATTACACCGTTTGACCAATAGCCCCGAAACGATGACCAGTCTATCCATCTGTACCCATTTTATGCTTTTTTACTAATGCGCAACCTGTTCAGTATAGTGCAAATATGTACAATATATACAAGTATTCGATTACTGGTGCTCGCATATCGAATAACACAGGTGGACAACATTGTCGTAGTGTTTCGAAATGGGCCGCACACCCAGCGATACCGTCTACAATGGTTTGGGCAGATGCTCCTCAAATTGTGTCGAACTAGCAAACAGATTTATTAACCCAAGTCCATGTCGACGTGGACTTTGTTACCTAGTGATCTACCGTCTTACTGGATGTTGGTCACCTTGTCCTCCGGTCCGTGTCTGATGAATGAAACGATACTGAATCTGCATCTGCGCACATTTCACCGCAGATCGTCGGGAGTGGTTCGTAAGCTCCACGCAGCAACTTTGTCTTCTGGTAGGATAATGCAAAGTAGACCATACATATGGCAGCCCATATAAGTATCTTATTGTGCTGTCGTTAGTTCATTAGGATTTCGGCATATTCCTATGATGGTTTTGATTGGAGGTACTTCAGTCGTTCGCTTCATTGCTACCTTGCGGGTATCAGTGATGATGATTCCATCAGTTAAGGCCTTGCGTGTTCACACAGCTGTTTTTGATAGAGCCACGGTCTATTTTAAATTAAATGTCGCCAAGCAAATCACGATGAGGACAGCGTTGCTGTTATATTTCGAAATTTGGTTCGCATCATTTCCAAACACACGTCTCCTACAATGTACCACACAGAATAACAATAAACGGATATCTCTGTTTAGTGTTTACACCCCAACTAACGCTGCAAAAGTTTATTTGTGCTTAATATACCACCCTTAGCAAGCTTTCCCTGCGCCCGGTGGTGCTGTCTGCTTGGTATTCTTGGGGAAATGAGGGGGGTTCGGGCAGAACTATGAATAGAAGTGAACTGTATACCTGGCAGCTAGTAGACGAAGGTTTAAGTACCGCTTTGTTATCCGCAACTCATACTTTTACCCAACGGAGAGGTCAATTGGTTCCTTCACTGGCTTGCTATGATTGCGTCCGTACAATGCGTAACAGCTCATTTACTCAACTTTTCTGTAACCTGTCCCAAAATGTAGAAATCATTCAACACCGTTCTTTTTTTTCTTAGGACTTTTGGTGGTTGCAGGTCTTTATACGTCCACATATTTTGGCCTGCAATACCAAAAGTGGCTGAAAAATAAGCGTAAAACACAAGAACGCGAGGAGGAAGAGGTCCGAATCGCCCTTTCACCCTTCGTTTTTGCCGAACAGGAGCGAATGTATCTACGACAACTGCGACGAAACCGTGATTATGAAGCCAAACTGATGGAAGATGTTCCGGGCTGGAAAGTCGGTCACTGGCACGATGTTCCTCTCTTTCACAATCCTCGTGGTCTATGGTGCGATCCCAACGCGGATGAGTTCTACGCCCATACTACCCAAAAGTTCCGCAATAGGAACCTTGGCGTTGTGCATGACTATTTTTGATCTCATGTTGATTTAGCCCGCTTTCCCTCCTAGTCCGTGAACGCCTAGTTGTCTGTTGATGAAGTAAATACTCATCAGTGTTTTTTTATTCTTTTGAGGTGTTATGGGGTATTTAAAAACATCGTATGACCGATTATAACCTTTCTCGTTTATGGTCCCTGCTAATTGGAAGTATTTTCTGACGCCGTGAAACTAAGAGCAAGTGAATCATTTGACCTTTTCTCAAGTGCCAGTCTAATTTTTGGGGGCACCTGAGGGAATTTGGAATCAGACTGTGTGTCAGTTACTGTGCCCACAAAGTTCATTTGCTGATGGAACCCAATGATCACTTTTGTCTTTGGATCTCAAACTTTAGAGGCGAGTTGTATTACGCCGTGCTGGTTCGGTACCATGCTTCATAAAACACCAGCTGGTCAAATGGATAACTGCGTTCGTTTCGTGCCCTCGGAAGTTTCTACTGTTCGACTCCAAGCCACCAGTACAGCCTCATCACCACTCCGTGTAGGTCAACTCAAGTCATGATTTAGGAGGAAATCTAGACTCATGGTGCGTTTGTCGTTTATTTGGCTAAATGGATTTTCCTTGTACATGGCTGATAACTTCAGATAAAGCAAAAGGATCGTCCCTTGATGCATTGACTCTGATCATTGTCTTGGTTACAAACGTTGTTGTTGTACTCGTTGACCGTTTGTCTTCCCTGTATTGTTGCTGGACTCTCCCAAGTCTTCACCAGTGCCCCCTCCAGGAGGTGATAAGTCCGGACGAAGCAATGAATGGGCTCGTGCGACTCTCTCTAATGGGTATACATTCCTTCCATTCGCTTTGCAATGTTCAATCACCTGTGAGAGTAACAAAACAGAGATCTGGTAGTCACTGGAGAAAAGTTGACGACTTGAGACGTTGATTAATATGATATTCAACCACTTAGTTCGCTTCTTCCGAATCATTTACAGCAGCATAAGACAGTAAGGTGCCGAAATAGGTGAGACTGCCTAACCCATACATGAGTTCTTTGGGAATATCGTATGGAACATCTTGTAAGGAAACCGAAATCAGACACTAAGTAATTTTTCTAAACCACATCTAAAAGACTATGGATTGTGCAATGTAACTGTGACGTTGGCTGAAATTCCCATTTCACTGTAATATCGAATAAGGTTTTCCAAATGTGGTCAACCGCATTCCCAGGTGACTTGCTTGATTCTTCTGAACCTCCGTTACTTTCTGGGGAGCCCTCTTCCAAAACGTCCTTCCCAACTAGATCTTACTTCTTTCTACCTTGTCATGCTTCGAGAGACTTTAGTCTGTTGTGTCTGTATGGGAAAATACGCCGTTCGAGAAATGGTTTGTGTTCCACAATCGTTTTTGTCAGTGCAGTTCATTCGCGAAGAAGAGTCATATGAAAGACAGTTTTTGAAGCGGTTAATTCATTCACCTCTGGGATACAGATGACTTTATATTCACTGTTACTATATGGATTCCGAATACCGTGCGGCTTTCCTTGGTTAAACTCAATGTTTGCCGTTATTTTCGTTGTCTGTTAACTGTACTTATTTTTGGGATCAGGTGGATAGCACAAAATTATTCGTAATCACCCAGACAGCCGGAGTTGATGGTCAACTCGCAAGTCCACTGTGTTACACTATTTTATGCCTGTGGCGACTTTATATCTGGAGCACTAACTTCAAACAAACTGCGATTTCTATCTTGAATTCACAAAGGCCGTTTGAAGTTACCGGATACGAGCGGAATTTCATGGTCGCGGTGTAGAATGAGTGAGATTCGCATTGTTCATTCCTCTTGAAATGAGAAGCCACTGTTGGGTATTCTCCGACGAAGTGTTCCAGTGCGGGGGAATGTTATTCTACCGTACACTTGATCAGTGCTGAGTTCACCAGGAATAGAACGGCTTATCGTTAACCGCTTCACATTGATGTGGTAATGCAGCACGAATTTGCGCTTAAGTCTGTTTCCTTTTCCAAAGAGCTGTGTTGTTAAGGCCTGAACTTACTGACCAGGAGCTTCGTGTTTCGAGTCCAACCCTGGCCTCTCAACTGTTCCTGTCTATGCCGGGGCAACTCGGCAGTATGTCGTGCTTCTGATGGCGTGGCATCTAGGAACTGAGGGTGTTACAGCTGAATGATTATTCATTATTATTATGTGCTAAATACGGCATGTCAGAAACCATTCCGAGTTCTGTTGCTGCTGCTACGATTTTGTAACCTGTCCTCATGGGCATTCCGAGGTGCCTGCTACTCTGGCAATCGGCAAAGGAGCTGATGGCATGCGAACTCGGACGATATCGGGTCATAGATTTTCCAGTCAGGTACGGAGGCATCATGTGAACTCCGTCTAGATATTTTCTAGCCATCTTACCTGTATCACTCTTTTCAGAAGATGACTTGCAATGTGCATAACATAATCGCAACATCATAGCTCAGTGTTGGACAGTAGTAGTAGAAGTTATGGTACTTGGCTATTCCCACACATGAATAGGTAAAACGCTGCTGCTCAAAAATCTCACAGAACATAGCTACGTCAGTTTGAAATAGCCTTTTTAAACACGTGGTGGGTTTTTTCATCTATGTCCACAAGGCCGAACTTGAGATGCATGGTTCTCTCGGACAGCTTAAGGCAATCTTTAATTGACATAAGTTTGGGAATCATTTACGTTTACATGTCCAATCTTGCGCTTCTGGAGTGGGCAGTTTCTCACAACTCACTGCTTTTGATCGGTCCCGTGACAATTGTTGTACCCTTGATCCCCCTCTCAGAATGGTCGCCCTCGGTAGGCTATTGTGGATGGTTTCTCCAGAAAACGAAAGCGACACCATTCGGATGGCACTTTACTCCTTTATGTAATATCCATCTTGTCTAGCTGGTCAAAGGTTTCTTTTCCAGTTTTAAGGATTGTTGACTTCTATGTTTCTCAAAACAAGCGTGCACTCAAATCGTCGGACGGATGGTCATTAGTTCAGAGGTTTGTCTGATCGATGGTCGTCAGACTTTTTAAATCTGCGAGTGGAATTTAAACTGCTTTAATCAAACCTGACCTTTCAATTCCTCCATATCCCAACTATAATTTCGCACCACATGTTTCAACGAGTATCCTGGTTTTTATTTGTGCCAAACACCAAACGTTCATAAGGTGTACTCCGGAAGTGCTCATCACAAATCCAGTCGTTTTGTTCCTGATGACTGCATACGGTTTTGCAATTGGATTGATAGCTTAGGGCGAGGTGTGAACTTTCGAACGAGAGGACCGTGGTTCGAACCTGCTGTTATTTTAGATTGCTACTTAATGAAGGTATTTCTATCGGATTGTAGCATGGTGAAGTTACGTCGAAATAGCGTTAAGACTGAGTGTTTGATTGGGCGTACTTGAAAACACGTTCATTTCCATATGGCAATCCAACTACTTTCTTTCCTATGTCGCTACTATGGTGAGGCAGTTCTTCTCTAAAAATATTCCAGAGTTTTTATCTTCCGGAATTCAAACATCCGCATAAAGTGTCATCTTTTATAATGTCGTACCTCTCCAAGTTCTTGATCCCATTTATTCTCAGTTTCACTATATACAATCTCTACTTGAAACAATTTGCTGATAATATCCGGAATTATGTGTACAACATGCATTTCGCGCTGTATTTGGCGCATCGCTCTTGTGATTTTCATCTTGCTCAAGAGCCAATAGCTGTATGTAACAGCTTAATGCAGGACTCTCCTTCGAGGGTGCATCCTTGTGGGGTTCCGATACGTCTTCTGGATGATGATCCACTGTTATAGGTAGGAATGGTCAATCTAAACCATATCGCACATGCTCTGCTTTTGGATGATGAATTTTCATTCGCATCCAGACATTCTAAGTTTAAGGAAGAGCTGAGATAAAATCTGATGTTTGGAGTGTGGTGGAGATGCCAGATATTCGAAATTACAGCATGTCTGTGGGTGGCACTACTGTAACATGGGAAACCTGAATGAAGGTCACCAGCCTACCATAAGGGTTATTACGAACTGTTTTTTGTCTTTGCGAATTCACATGCAAACTATTAAATGAGATAACTGTTTTACACGAGCGCCCTTTTGCATTGAAACAAAACGGAACCCATTGGGAATTTGATCATCGAGTTCAGGCGTTGTTTCATCTTATCCCTCGGTATTCTTCACATTCTGTTGGCATCACAGTTGTGAAATGTTCCAGCAAGCAGTGCTGAGTGCTCGTTCGAGACTAAAATATTCCGCTTACTCTACTCAAGTCTGATCAAGAGAAATTCACTGATGTGCTGGATTAGTGTATCAGCTGTGTTTAAGGCATAAATTGCTGGACCACTAATATATCTAGATGGACATCCGCTGTGATGCTTTCATCTGGGAATAAACCGGCCAATTTTCGAAATAGACGGTTCAAAGTCCTGCTTCCCCTAAACGGGAGAACATTGTATAACATACCAAACAAAGCATCACCAATGAGATGATAAAGGTCAACTCACACGTTTGCTATAATCCTGGAAAATCTCCCTCTCTTTTTGAGCCAGCTTATTTCCCACACCCGCAAGTCGGATTTCCGTTTCGCGTTCAAGTTTCTTGCTGTCGTCTTGTTGTTTCTAAATTAGGAAAGAAGATGAGGTGAACGAGGCAACTTATGTGTCATTTTTTGATTTAACACTCCTGCCACTTGTTACATTCGGCTTTACAGCAAACCAATCATTCGTGCTAAACCGCCAGCACACAAACACATCAGACTTGTTCGCTCATCAGGCGGCTGCCTTTCGGCCCGCCAAGCTTGGCGGTTGGTTCTAGTGGAGTTCTATTTTTATGTGTGAAGGACTGACCTGATTGTGTGAAAATTCGCCTAGCAAATTCACTGTTGATCACAGCATACATGGACAATAGACTACACTTGTGCATGGCTTAACTAAGTTGAGATGCTTTCTTGGTCCGGCTCATGTTGTGCATTCGTGTTTTTCGGCATATCGAGATGGTCAAGACGCGAACCGAGTAACCGAAAGGTACATGGCTCGAACCCAACTCCTGGCATCTCAACTGTTCCTGCATAGGCTTAAGCAACCTGGTAGCACCGCAACCTTCGTGCTTCCTATGTATGGAATGGTAGTTAGGCACGGAGGCTGTTGCAGCTGAGCTACTATTATTTTCCGTTTCTCAGGATGGACACCTTTAAATCCAGGTCTCTGACCTGGTCCTCAATGAGGTCTGTGAAAACTCTGGCTACCCACAAGTAGTCGATTTTCCAAACTAAATCGTCCCAAGGGTTACTTCAGTTGCTGTTAGGAGGACTCAACCCGACATTGTGAAGAAATATTGAAAGCGCACGGTCCCCTTGGTCTGCGAGGTAGTTCGGAAAAAACCAGTTTTTTCACTCAGCTTGTCTGGTAAGTGAAAGAGATCATCATAGTGCCTCAACGCCTCATCCTCCTGAAGCCATCATCTTACCATGGGGAATGTACGTCAGTCGAAGTCTGCTCTGCTCTGTAATAATCATAACAATCACAACAAGGGCACTCTCAATCTATTGTTTATTTGACTTATTTGTCTGGCCTTTGCACACTTGGATGGCTCGCGTATTTTCCCAAGGTCTTCAGGAAAACTAGCTGCGTTTTGACGATGACTGGACTATTAACAAGCAGTTTCCTGTGTGTGTTTCCAGAACCGATGGTTTGGAGAAGATATTAGGAACATCCTGCGCCAATTGTCTTTTTGGCACTTGAAAATCTGTCCAGTGATACTGCTTCAGTTGATGTAAGTAACTTGAAAGTGGAGAAGTGTCTTTGGCGACGGCCTACGAATGGGATGACACCGGGATGCAAATCTTATAAACCGGGATTTGTTTACGGTAGATTGCGAAGTGAACGGATATTTACACAACTTTTGCAAAAAAACATCTCTCTTGTGTTTTTGGGGATTAAGCAAAAAAACATCTCTAGTCAGTGTTGGGAAGATTAACCCAGACCGCGTACTCAATCCTAAAGTGCAACTGACCTTCAGCTCCATATATTCCTTACTCAGAGCCTTCAGCTTGGCCGCCCTGTCTGCTTGGCACGCTGCCTCATATTCATTTGCGGCACGCATAGCCTCGTTGCGTATGCGCACCTCCTCCAATTCGGCTCGTTTTTGCGCTTCCTCTTCCTTTCGATGACGCTGGATTTCTTCAAGACGATGTGCGTTGATTTCCGCAATTCGCTGTGCCCTCAGCTTGGCCTTTTCTGCTTCCTTCAAATTTTCGGTTTCTTGCTTCTCCGCAGATGCACGTGCATAACGCTCTTCTTCATCCTTATACTTGAGCTTCAACTGTTCAGACAAAAAGTTTTTAATCCGTTCCATTTGTTCTTCGCGGGCCCTGCAGTGGAGTAGGTCATAAAGCGCTTGAAAGTGCTCCAGTGTGTTTTTATACTATTCAACCGTATAAAATGCTAAAACTCCAATGACAGACCCATCTTACGAGAAAAGAACCGTGGGATGGTCGCAAGATAGCGCATTAGATTCATAAGCCTTGAGAATAATCTACCCTGTCTCGTTCTTGACCGAGATGAATCGCACTTCTTCGAACTCACTCGCCCGTCTCGTTTTTGCTCAATCGACCAATAATCCGCTCGAAAACAGCAAATCAGTGATATCTTGAATGACTTTCCCTGGAACATAATCTTGTTTGCGGGTGACACAGCTGTACTACAAGATCTGGAACAAGTGTTATTGCATAGAAATGTCCTTGAGTTCAAAACTGTTCCATATAGCAGGAGGAAGTGTTTCTTTGAAAAAGCGATGTGCTACTCAATATTCCGTGTAATTTGGGCTCAAGGCGAACATAATATGATGGGAACTCGGCGGCTGCGTCTACCTGATGAGCCCCAAAAAGAGCTAAACCGGTCGATAACCATTGGAGAGCTTTCAGCGACCTTCGTGAAAATAAACTGCGATATCTCAAATATTGTACCAACTGAAACATGAGGTGGATTTGTGCAGCGTATTCAGTTGAAGCATATCATAAACGAGAGATCCATCCAGGATTCAGGTGAGTCTTTCTTGAGAACCGAACCGGTTTGCAAATGAGTTTGTTTGTGGAAAGGTGTTTTTCTTTCAGTGTCATGTCGACCATGCAGGACGTAATCTGTGTACATTCAGCTGTTGAGAATCGATAGCAGTTCACCAATAGTAACCTCTGATGGAGGCCAACAGTCAACATTCAGTAACTGTGGTGCAGTGTAACTCTGATTACTATAATTGGTACAAAGCCATTTTAATGGGCATCTGTAGTCTACTGTCCCTGAGGAAAAGTTGTATCACAGTGAGTGATTGACCGCACCGGAATTATAAGGCCAAGATAAGGTATTAAGAGGATACTTCGTTTTTGTCGTATTCGGCTCATAACCTCAGTTTTCATTGTGAAATTCCGTCCATCAATAACTTTATGTTCTCCCCCATTCGCAGCACTAACCACTTAATGAAGCGTACTATATTTCGAAAAACAGACATAGGCCATTGAATTGAAGGTGATCTCATAACTGCAACTACGCAGGCCTGCAGCGTTCGCGGTCTACCTTTCTCCTGCGAGATATATTCTTCAGAGATGGAAACCAATGAAGATGCTTGATATGAACAAAAAACCCTCAAACATACTTCCCCAACGGAACAAACCGATGTGAAGAATTTCTGTGTGCATCGTTTCTTTTGCCACATGGAGCTTTTGCACGTTAAATAAACTATGTTGCAAAATCAGTATCCTTCAGCAAAAGAGTCCATCTAAAGTGACCAACTCTATACAGTCCGCATTTATGAGTCTCCTTCGAAGTAACTTTTGTTTCCTCGTGGAGCCGACGCCTTCCCAATTTACATCTGATTAAATGCAATAAAAGCGTGTTTTATGATGATAGACTTTTAGTTGCAAGCAGTTTTTGTCAACCCGATCATTTTCTGACTGGCCGGGGCAATCATTTTTGGCCGGTCTTAATGTATCCTAAAAGAAGTTGGCGAGGTGGACTTATTCACTTGTTATTTGTATTGCATCCCAGTTCCCGAACAAACCAGACAACTGTTCAAATCCTGGATAGTAATTATGTGGTAATAAGATGTAGGAATACCTTTCGCTTTCGGAGAACTATTTCCTCTAATAAAAACACTTCCTGGCTGTGATTCCTGTCATTGGATACACACAACTTACTTAAACATTTCCCGCTCTTTCAGAACCCGCATTGTGGTCATTTTTCGTTTTGCCGCTGCAAAAATCCGACATTGTTCTTCCTCTTCCTGTAAAAGAACACTTATTATCAGGTGCCATTCCAGATTTTATCAGAAAAGCGAAAGAAGCTTATGTTTTCCACAATTAAATCGATGATGACTCCAATGGGATTGGCATAATTGCTTCTTCCCGTGTAGAGAAGCATGGATTTGACAAAAGACACCACTTTAGTAGTCAGTGGTCTTGACGTTTTGCACCTGTCTTAGATAAACAGTAGATTCCCTTTGAATATCATGTGAGGCTTCATCCATAAGATTAAGCCGTCGTTTCTACGAAGCTTATTATCCACCGCTTTATTGGGAGTTGTAACCAAACTACAGATTCTCCAAACAGCGACCTCCAGTTCGAAGGGAACCGATTTTTCGGGGTGTTCGCTTTCCATGAAATGAAGAAAAATTATCTGTTGATGTAGAAAACCGAACCAGGACATCTCTTCAAACTCTTGATGGGATTCGATCTCGTAAGATTTTCTAACGAGAGTTCTCTATACTTCAGAAACAAGTAAAGCTGTTTTCAATGCGTTTTGCTCTTGGCAGTGTTTAGTTTATCCTAATTTTCAACGACCCAGCTAGACGCGACGATAATTCACGTCTCTTGACGCACTCCACCTCTTGAGAATTACGTTCAACAATTTTAAGAACAGTCGGTTTTTTATGAAGTGATCACTTTTCTGATCGGTTCCTTTCAAAGGGCGACCAAATATGTATGAAAAAATGACCATACACACCTTGTATGCCTCACTTTCCGATTCAAACAGGAAGTACCAACCAGCTATGGATACAGGGTAGTGAAAGTATGATTCTGAGGTTAGGAATCTGTAACCTTAAATCAAAAAATCGAATGTTCGATCCGTTAAGTCATCTGGCGATACCGAATAAGGACGGAAGTGCCTATGTAACTGAAGGTGTTATATTGCTGGCAGTGTAATGAGATTTGGGCATTTCGGTCCGAAGCTGAAAAGCCTAGGAGCACTGTACAGTTGTTTTATCCTTACTAGGAATCATCAGCAGTGCGCATCTCACGAAACTCCATAGTGCCGAATCCACGACCTTTCGGCCACAAGCAGCTCTATGTTTAGAGTCTAGCTGAAGCTCTCCAGATCTTTGGTAAATTCCGAGCCCATGACCTATTTATGAGTAGGTGGATAATTCTTAGCACAAATCATTCCGATTATCCGTCAAGAATCAGGGGGCATTACGGATAAGTTATAGGATGGTTATATCAAAAAATTATCCCCCAAACAAATTTACCCACCTACTCAAACTAATTGGAGGGTGCGTAGTCGGGAACCAGAGGCCTCGAGTACAAGCTCAAACCGTAAAACAACCATCCCTTTGCGCCCATCTAATGAGCATCACTAGAGGTATTTGTGTCCATGTGATTGATATTTCGGAGATCTGATCACATTCACAGCAAATTACTAACCTCCTCCTTCAAACGCTCGATCTCCTTCATTTTCTGGTTTCTCTTCATTTGTTCTTTGTAGTCCGAGTTCAAATCCAAACCCAATACCCGCTCTCTTTGAATCAAACGTTTGCGTTCCTCCTCATCTTCTGCTGCAATTTTCAGCAACATTTCACGCTCTGCCAGTTTTTCACTCTCTTCCAACTTCTTTGCCTCGATATGTTCTTTTATTCTTCAGCAAAATAAGGGATGTTAGTTGACAAATATATCGGGTTCATCAGTTAACTTGCACAGTACTGAGGATATAACTTTAGAATCTTAGCCGTATCCCTCTCAGAAACAGAGACGACGGAATGAACATTTTTAGTTCACCGACTACCCGTAAATTCTTTCACAGGCGAACATCCTCTTTTAATGAACGTCACGAAACAATTATATGGTCATTATGAAAGTTAAAACAAAAAGGTATTTTTCTGTCATGTGTGATCTTACTTTATGCGGAAACACTTGAGATAACGCGCAAAGATTCTAGGTATCAAAGAATGAAATTTATTAGCTGTTACCTGGGCTGCGTGCTTCTGAAAATACACCCGCTCTCTAGTGCATACAGCTACTATCGACTTGGAGCTGAGAAAGCCCACAATACGACTTCCGATTCACCCGCTCTCTAGTGCATACAGCTACTATCGACTTGGAGCTGAGAAAGCCCACAATACGCATTGACTTCCGATTTTTTTGCTTGCACAGTACGATTCTTCAACTTCATTGTGTTTGTTGCTTTCTTATGGCATCAGCTGCTGCTTAAACTTGGAATTTCTGTTGATTACTTTATACTCAGCCTCACATTTGTTGCTTCATCAGGCCACAGTTTCTGTTCGATATCCAGGTGGTATTAAGATCAGGTATAATAGCAATGATAACCAAATCGTAATGACAAAATTGTTTCGTCAGATCACGGATCTTAACCCTTTGTCAAGACCTGAGTCGGATCTGCTTTTCAAGGGTAGGGTTAAACGGTAACATCTGTATAGATTCCCAATCAGTGCAGCATTTTTAGATGTATGAGTGGTAAGGCTATTCCGCCACTTTATTGATTCTCTCAGTGCTGTATGTGATTATGCACAAATGTCACAAAATCCACAAGCAGTGTGGCAAAAAAGAACAACGGAGTTACGCGAATGGCTAATGCAGGTGTTCGTTGTGGCCACCTGGTAGTGATCCGTCAACACCTTAGAATACCTCTTCCTCGGGAGAGAGAGGAAGGTGGCCATCATATAATACTCTGTTAAGGTATTCAAAAAGTGGTGCCTTCACGCAAAACCTCAATGGTAAAGACCGTTTTGCCATCACGGTATTTACTCGTCCGCGTTAGACAGAGGTTAACAAGTAATAGGGGATCATTGTTCCTCGAAATTGTGGGTCTAGCATATGCCAAGCGCCAGGATGAGCCTGGCCTATTCAGTAAGTGGTTATGCAAAGAACTAACCTACCTCGGTATGAGTTACGCCTTCGGGCTCATATAACTTATAACAAACTAGACAGCTTTGGCTTCCTTATCAAGTTATAAACTACAGTCCGTTTCTCACCAGTGTGGCAGCTCAGGCTATAAGATGTCTACTTATTCCACAGGATAGCAGAAACTGCAGGTGGATTCCTGTAACACAGGCAAGTCATCACTCAAAGCAGTGTTGGCTAATTAACAAAGTACTTACTGTTCCTTCAGTTCGTTTGCGATCTGAATATTTTTCGCACGCCTTGCGGCAACCTTTTCTTGTTCCTGTCGTTCCGCTTCATTTCGCATAAATTAAGAACGTGTCAAAGCTCACAAGACTTACCTTCGGCCAATTCTCGCTTCCACTGTTCTACCAAGACTTTCTCTTTATCTCCTTTGGTTCTTTCGCACAACTCTTTTAGCTCTAACTGTGCGTTGCGCTCCTGCAAAACCTCGGTGAGAAGTAGAGCGGACTAAAAAATATTCGGTTAATTTTCTGTTTCATTTAGGCACGCACGTGCAGTTGCTTCATCTGATCCGTCTGATAGTACATTTTCAGTTTTGCCTCTTCGATCGCAGCTTTACGCTGTTCTGCTTGAAGTTTGGCCTCTTCAATATCGATCGCTACTCGTGCTGCTTCCTCGTCAGCCAATCGCTTTGCTCTTTCGTCCAACTTCTTCTGTCTGGAACCCTATTCAGCACATGTGTTGGATCGACACAAAACACAATTTTTTGTGTACCAGAAAAGTGTTTGTCCAGTGTTTAACCATTTCTTGGGAGGTCTGTCTGAGTTTTTCATTCGCCAGTCGTTTTTCCTCAAGCTTAGCGTTCTCTGCATCATCACCTTGTAGTTTTGCGTTCAAACGTTTCCATTCCTCTTGGCTCAAAACCTTAACCTTCCGGAGTTGATTGCATTGGTTTGCAATGGTTGGTTTTGGTTTGCAATTGGTTTGGTTTCCTAGCTCCGAACTTGCGTCATTTTGACCAGGACCGGCTACAATTCGGATAAACTGATAAATTTTGGCAAAGGTAATGTCAAGTTCAGTTGCTCGTTAGCGCTTTTTTGCAAATATCTCGATGCCAGAGTGCGCCGTAACCGCCGGTCGGACTTTTGTCCAAAAAACACTTTGGGACATACCAGTTCATCACTTAACACGGTGTCATGAGAAGAACGAGGCAGACAAACGAAGCCTGTTTTCTGTGATTGTGCCTATTGGCTAATACATCACAAATTAATATTGTACCAGAAATCACCTGAGAAAGCTTATAATTGGAGGTACATATATTCTGGTGAAATAGAAATCAAAATGAAATGGGTTGAGTGGGGCTTATGGAATCGTCTAAAATTGAATTACTTGATTCCGCGACCCATTGATCTACCCATCATTCTACCCTGCGTCCTTGATTTCTAATTCACCAAAGGGTATGTACCTCCGATTATAGCTTTATTCGCCAGAATTTTGGAACCATATCAGTTTGTGATGTTTTAACCGAGAGTCACAATCACAAAAACAGGCTCCTCTGGCTGCTTTTTTTCTTCTCATGACTTCCATAGGCATATTCAGTCACCCATTGCAGCGTGTTTAAACAGTAAAACTCTATGGTAATGTAAACCGGCATCAATTTTACCGAAAGTTTCATGGATTTGGCATGTTTTCACACTTGGAAAGAGCCGCATTTAGACTTACAATATTCAAATGCTTCTTGCCATTTCCTATTTATATACTTGTATTTCATGCACATTCAACAATGGTTGTCCAAAATGAAGTAGATTAGTTTTGTTTTCTGGACTGGTTCGTCCGTATTAAGCCTTTAGATGCACAGTGAAATCTGTACGGATCCAGTGCCGTTTTCTACAGTCGAATCGAGTATTTATGTAAGCTGTATCTGTATGTAAGGCACATGTCTTTTTCGTCGCGTATCTGCAGGGACCGAATGATTCTTGAGTGAGTTACAAAGATAGGTTGCGTCGTACATGCTCAACAAACTCACACCCGGAAGTGCAGCAGTACTGTAGAGCTATCCAATCGTTCCATTTATTCTGTCAGCATTAGAAGTAGCTTCCCGTAATTTGACACTTAGATTTGGTTTTTGTATGGGGGGGTCGTGGTAGTTTGCCATAGGTGTGAGTTGGCAAAACACCACTTTTAGTTCTGCTGCTAGTGTCAATGGGTACGCCATCAGCTAGCTCGCTCTGAAAAGGAGTGAATACATGCATTTTGACGCATTTCATCTCATACTGACGAACGTCTGTCTTCGAGCACGATGATTATCTGTTGTGACCATGTAAAAACATTTAATGTTGGGTTGCTACTATTCCTAAACATCTTAAACACAAAAACCTTGGGTATATATCCTTCAGTTATACTCTGCCTGGTTTAAAAAATAAGGGCGTAAGATGGGAGACTTAGTGCTTTGTCCTGAACACATAACAGCCATCATAATTACAATGGTCGAAAGCATATCACCAGTGTTCAACACTGATTCTCTGCTGCCGTACATCCGTGATTTATTCAGAATCCTTATTTCCAAGAGAAGAGCAAAAGGGAATAGTTGAGGGGCTTAATGTTCACTTACCACAATCATTCCCATCACCGAACCACACGAGCTATGGTTCTGAGGCAACGATTGTTGAACAACTGAAGATGTCCCAGTTCAAACAGGCCAGGAACGAAACACACACATAACGAAAATCCGTACAAGTCCCTTCAGCTTCGAGGAGGTAAGACTTTGACTCCATAAGTGTTTTAAATTAGCAAACGTAACCAGAGCTTTGCAGATTCGTGCAATAACTTCATCCATCACACTACAATCTGAACTACTACAACTTCCAAGTTACGTAAAATGCTCCGCAATTTCCAGTGTCTCTGGATTTTCAGAGGCGTGTTCAGTGACTGCATGTTCAGGAATATGACCCTGGACTTTGTGTGTGCGAATTGCACCCAAGTGGACCGATGACTTTGGTCGGTTCGTCCAAAAACAACTACAGCTTCTGTTCAAGTTCAAGAACGATGTGGTCTGCGTATTCTAGATCTACAAGTTTTTTGTCAGAGGCTATTTGAACACCGTTTGAACTCGCTCCCAAGTTTGAGCAGTATGGTGGCGATGATAGAGAGGCATTGTAATTTCTGAATACACTTTCTTGTTTTTCATCCATGTTTTGATTCATTTGGTGGAAAACCGGAAAATTTAATCTCGAAAATTGTGGGTTTTTTACTCAACTACTCCGTGGTGTATTCTATCTTCGTTTTTGGTCGTCAAGTTCCTCCGGAAGCCAGAATGTCTGCGCTGCTTGAAAGCCTCTTTATTATTGCGCACTAATCTCGTGAACAAACACTGGTTTCCCTTATGTTCATCTTCTTCTTTGGTGTTTGCACTGCATCTGGCCGGGTCCTGGCACATAAGAATTCTATGCCACATTTATGAATGCCTTTAGTGGCCTGGAGTAGATGACTAGTTCAAACTTCATCCCGGCGCAGATGCTTCTTAGTACTGTGATACCAGGCTCGGATTCGCCTGAAAAATCGTAGATTATCAGTTTCAACTCCTCGATATCTGCATCACATTCTGCTTCGACAGGCTGTAAAATATGGATCCTAATTTCCACGGCACTGGATTAGCATAATGCACACAGAGACCTAAAATATCTGGAAAAGAAAACCACTTTGTTGTGTGTTGGTTGAATGGAATAAGGACCTCCGAAATTTCCTTCGGTGAAGTGTAATTCAATATTTCCATGGCCTTCCTCCCGTGACTTACTTTTGCTTTACATTAACAGAGACCTCTTAAGGCAGTCAAACCCTACGTAATGGGCCTTTCGAGTCGCCCATCTACAATTGCATATACGAATAGAATCAATAACGAATCAATAGAATCAATATACGAATAGAATCAATACGAAAATCAATAAATAACCCATTGATGCAATGACGTGTGCTGCGAGCCCTCGTGATCCCTGAGGAGTGAAATGATCATGGTGTAACTTGTTTTTTCATCACCACAATAAAAAAACTTATTGGTTCGTCAGGCATTTATGCGCTTCCCTGATTTCTTATGTATGTGAGAACAAATTTTGTTTTCTTTGAAACCCAGTTCGGTGATTTGGACTCATCGATAGTGATGCGCAAAGATCCAGAATGCATGAAGTGTTTGTTATCATAGCGGTGTTTGAAACTAATGTCCCCAAGAATCCAATTTAGAACCAAAACGAATCATAACAATGAAAAAATTCTGCTACTTCGAAAAATGTGCGTCCGAATTACACTGAACAACGTACCACGTGACAGATCAGACGGCCCTCTTAGAACATATTTATTCATCTTATTAGGCGGGGTTCGGTCGACCTCGTGTTGCTATGGTGAAGTTCAGAGAAAACAATCTAATTGCAGCTTAATTGAACTCGCAGATAAGTGCGTCGACCGCTTGCATGCTCGATTCGTTAAGTGTGGCCTCAATGTCAGCTCCTGGACGCTGTTTTTAGATAAAATAAGAAGAATAGTTCTACCTGGCTTGTGCGCGAACTTGTGGCAAGATGCTTGCACAGTCGAATCTACGGATTTATACAAAGGATTCACGGATTGATACACAGGATCGAGGCTTTTGCCCAGGTTTCCCGGGTCGGTTTTGTTCTTGTCGGTCAGTGGCTGTCGTTCACCTGAAAGGCATAAGTGAAAAAAGGGTGTAGCACTGCTCTTTATGTTCTCAGCGCGGGGCAGTATGCTCGCCAGCGCGAGGATTCGCATAAATAAATGTCTAATGGTGCTTTAAATTGGGTTCGAGAAGGAGCGTGTACAACCGTCGGAGGAAGGTCATTCCACGCAGCTACTAACTGAAATGAAAAAAGTTTTGTCTAACGGATGTGTGTGCCCTGAGCTTGAAAATTTTCTTACTATGTCCTCGCCGGGTGTTTGCTGGGTCAACGGTAAAAAACCTGTTTGCCAAGCTTTGTTCAAACAGGGCGTATGTAAGAATTAGGTCCCCTCGGAGGCGACGGTACTCCAGGGGAAAGAGATCAAGCATCGCGAGACGCGTTTCGTAGTCCACGGACTTGAGGCCGGCAACCATTCTCGTGGCGGCCCGCTGGACACGCTCAATGAGGGTAACGTCTTTCGTACGTCCTGAGTAGACAACTTGGTTGGCGTACTCCAGGAGCGGTCTGACGTAGGCCCCATAGAGTATCTGGAAGTCCGTGCGAGTAATACGGGAGAAGGTGCGTCGGATCATCCGTAAAATGATCGAGGCCTTAGTCCAATTTTACCTGATTGGTTTTGTTCTTGTCCTTCATCGACTGTCGTTCACCTGAGAGGCAAAAGTGAAAAAGGATGTAGCACTGCTCTCTAATTTCTCCGTGCGGTGAAGTATGTTTATCAGTGCGAGTATTCGCAAAGATCACGCTAGTAATGACTGTACGTTCTGCAAAACTTGCGATGCGTTGTAACCCAGTTTTTCGTACAGCCAATTGTCAGTCTGTAATTATTGACATCATGACAAACGATCAAAGCAGTACCCTCGAATGGTGGACCATGCCCGTTATGTTGGAGCCTCATATTCAAAGGTTAACTGGTCATCAAAAGTTTATACTTATTATATGGCTTTTTCGGTACGCATCGTCGTAGTTTCTCAGCATTATTTTGGATAGTATGTGAACGGTCTCGCCATACGCAAAGCTACGCTGGCCGTTTAGCTGTCCTTTCTAGAACCAGGGTGCGGTAACCATTTTTTCACACTGCGACGTGTGCTTAAGCTCTCTCGTGTGAAAAATCACATACAGCAGATTTTTCCCAAATGGCCGTTGATTCCCTGATGTTATACCACTTCTAGGTAGGCAAGTTGGACAACAGATGTTTTGTAACTGCTATAATCATCTTTGGGTCACTTGTTTCTACACTTCTGCACTACTACTCTCGGCTGCACCAAGTGGCGCACAAAATCTAGAATTGTATTTGATCCACCTCAGGCCGAGTTGTTCTTGCTGCTCAGCGGCTTCCGCTCGTCCAAGTTGTATCAGCTAGTGATGGTGTAACACCGCTCTTTTGACTCTTAACGAAGGGCAGCAAGCCCTTCATCATAAAGTTCCAAGTAAAAAGCCTCCAAAGTCGATTTGAAGTGAATTGTTGATGCAGCTTGGACAACCGTAGGAGAAAGGCTATTCTAGGCATCCCACACCAAAAATGACAAAGTCTGTTATCCAATGAAAGTGTTTGCTCTTATCAGGAATATCACACCGGATACTTTCTCTATACAGGCAACAGTGAAAAGTTTATCGACCAAAGTTTGTGTCAGGCTCTTTCAGGGGTGACGGCAACCTTATGAAAAGGCTAGAGTACCTAGACGCTTTTCTTAGTCAGCGTTTCCGGATTAATCTGGAGAAAGAAAATTCACAACCCCAAGTAACTGGCGTTGAAGAAGGCTCGGGTGCACGTATAACGTTTGAAATGCCCCGGCCCCGTTAGGGTTGGGCGCCAAATGCAGTAATCTTCATGGTGAACGTCTTCTACAATTCTATGCTGGCTGTTGAGCTTGGTGTGAAGAACTTTTTTCATTGTGTGGTCCTGCTACTTTCGAAGATCTGTGGAGGCGAAGCAAATGCTTGGTAGTCGACTACCCGCGATGAGACCCAGCTGCTGGATACCATCCGCCCAGAATTGCCTTTGGATGTGGACCCTTTTTCATGTTTTTACTCAATATTTTTTTCTTTAAAGATATCCTAAGCTAGTAACTGGCGTTGAAGAAGGCTCGGGTGCACGTATAACGTTTGAAATGCCCCGGCCCCGTTAGGGTTGGGCGCCAAATGCAGTAATCTTCATGGTGAACGTCTTCTACAATTCTATGCTGGCTGTTGAGCTTGGTGTGAAGAACTTTTTTCATTGTGTGGTCCTGCTACTTTCGAAGATCTGTGGAGGCGAAGCAAATGCTTGGTAGTCGACTACCCGCGATGAGACCCAGCTGCTGGATACCATCCGCCCAGAATTGCCTTTGGATGTGGACCCTTTTTCATGTTTTTACTCAATATTTTTTTATTTAAAGATATTCCTAAGCTACATATTACGAAGAACGGTCGCAGATCACAATGGTGCTTTTGCACCTACCCATTTTGGACGGCAAAACGAGGAACTACAAAATCTACACTGAAGGTAAAAAGTTTGGTGGAAACTAGAATTTCAAGAAATAAAAGAATCTAATGCAGCGAGGAGAGAGATTAGGTTAGTTTTCACAACCGAAAATAATTTTCTTGAAATGCTGCGTCAGTCAGCTGATTGGAAATATTCATAGTAGCGCACCCTCGTTGTGGCTTCCAGTACGGCTTCCAAAGTACTGTCACTAACCCTTCACCATGCCTCTCCTCAGAAGTGCAAAGCAAGCGACTGTTCCGAACAGAGAGGCAGAATATTTGCAAACATAATAGCGTAACTGCCATTTTTCGTAAATACTCTGATAAGAACTTGCAAGTTTGAAGTTCGTAGGTCACATCTGATGCCTATGATAACAGTTATATGGGATAGAAGCCTAAAACAAACCATCCGGAAGACATCCTAAAATATCTCGTCTACTGTTTCGTTCCCTTCTTCTTGTACACTGGATGGAATTTCGGGTGCACAATCCGTTCTAAAAGATGTTTCGGACATGCAACGTGCCAAGTAGCACTTCAAGATTTTTATTCCTTCTGCCTTCCAAAAATTTAAAAAAAATTTAAATCGCCAAACACTTAGCCTGACTTAGCAACCGTGCGAACTGTGACTCGTTTGGGCGCAAACCGTCAGCGGAAGCATTGCCAGCACGCAGGAAAACTTTCGAAACCTGTCTGTTTCACAGCGTCATAAGCAACCTGCCTCAAAGCTGACTTTCCTTCTACGCGAGGTGACTGTGTGGGATGAATGAGTCTAAGACCATGTCCATCCGATCGAATGAACTCAGACACATCGAGACGTTTGATCATTGAGAAACTTCCAGTTAATTGGGCGTTAAATGGCCGAAGGGCCCTGCAAAAAAGTTGAGCGTAGACATGTACCTGGTGGTTGATAACTCAGACGAGAAGCAGGCCTTGTGTTTGGGTTTATCAGGTATGTTCTGCGCATGCATGACTACCGCCGCACAGAAAGCATATTTTTAGATTCATTTGCCTGTTGAAGAAGTGCCGGCAGGTGACATGCCGTAACGCAAACTAGGACTGGCTTCACTATTTTCACTATTCTCGCTAGGGTTCCCACCGTTGCCCTGAGTGTGGTTAGAAGTCACACTTGTTATCCCCAAGGTCGAATGTGCCGTAATACGCAGTCTGAATATTTAGCCAATGTTTGCCTTATCATCATAATACATAATAACATGATATTATTTTTCAATACTGGTACCTTTCCGCAGTCCAATTACATTTCATCCGCAGGCCCTTCTTATAAGACTGAGAAAAGGAACAGATGAGGCACCAGTGCCTATATTTTGCAGTTAAGGGACCTCCAGACGATAGTTCAGGCTGGGCAAGGACTGACAACAGGGGTGTTAATGCCCCAAATCAATGGATGTATCTTATGGCATCCTCATGGTGGCCGCTTGACAAAGGGAATCCCGTATATTATATTCAAAAGGGCGAGTCGCACCGACGGAATCCAGACCTTAAGCAGTTTTTATCAGATTCCCATGATAGGCTGTACAGTGAATTGGACTCAGGAATCGGAAACATGTTTATCATAAAAATTGTAGAATTGCGCTATGCATGACCTGACCACCAGGTTGTATATATACCCTGGCACGATAAATCAGTTCCTCGCTAGGCGTTTTTCTAAATGCGTCGGCTCCAGGTGGCACTGATCACGGTTTTGGGACAACTGTTTCTGGAGACCTGGGCCGCTTGTAGAGGAGAAGTCTCAGAACCATACGATGAATCAGCCTGATGTGCCTATCCCAGTAAAAGTGAGGTGATGCCGTGCCGCCCTATTTATATAAACTTGGGCAAAGCGATACAACCTTTAGTCATTTGCATATTGACTCAATCTCACAAGCTGCGAATGAGACATGCAATTAGTTAAACACTTCATACACTCGAATGGCGCATTCAGTAACTACCCGTCCCAGAACATGACCATACACCTGTGGAATCTGCTAATTTCTAAGACAATGCTATTTTCATCTGTTCACTAAATAACACTTGTCCCCATTTTGAAGGCGAGAACGATATCTTCCGGACCGTCTTGCTTTAGTATAGGGGTTTTACGGACCTTCAAGCGCCTCCGCCCTTTTGTCAAATTAAGCTAAAACACCGCTCCACTCACGGAAACGTTTGAAGAGCTTTGCGTATATTTTTGTTCGTCAAGATGGTTGAAAAGTGAAAGAACACGTGCTATTGATAATTAGCTGAGGTAGTATCTACTGGGAACGTCTGTCAAGAATAACAAGACGGTCAACAAGGTCAAATGCGCCGCGGAGCTTAGGGGCAATAAAATTGTGGGGCATTAGTGTGCGTAGCCTGTTTTAGCACTAACCTATTGAGATGTTGACGGAAAAATTCTCACCATGCCCGATCCCCAATTTCCGCTCTCACTTCTGAGTTTTAGTTGTCGACCGAGGCAGGTAATGGACGTTTTACGCTAAGTGTCGATCCGATCCTGAAGTTTGGGCTGAACGCGCTTGATTCGCAGTACTCAGTACGGGTGCGCAAACAAAGCTCTTGCCCTAACTTTTCGACCACAAATTAGCAGTATTCGACAGTAACTGCCAGAGATTAGTATTTTTGTTAAACGAGAATTATCTAGTGTTTATAACACCAGCCCATTATGCAGTAGATTGTGCCGGTAAAGTCCCTGAATTTTGGGCTACCCGATGTAGAACACCTCACAAGAGTCCATTGGAACAATTTTGTGTAGCTTAATGAGTCATAGAGTTTACAAATCATCACACCAAAGCGGAATCAGGTTCTTTTCTGATGGTTGTAGCTTTTCTGTATTCACGTGATAAGATATGGTCTAGTGCTTTCAGCGAATTTCATTCAGGCAACTGCACTGATCACATCAAATTTGGATGTGACTCTCAAATGGGCACGACTGGCGGCTGTTGAAGATTAGGACTCCTCGTTTTTATCGTCTTTTATAAGTCATTGTGCTTTTTATGATGCAACGTTGCACTTTCAGTTTCTCTGAGCACCGGCTTTCGTCTCTAGTTTGCTATTGTCGGAGGCGCAGATCGACAGAGCAGCAGACTCGAATAGACGTTGAACAATGTCTGGATTCCGGTGT